GATCAAGTCAGTGTCCCCCCCTCCCGCCCCCCACCATATGGTCATACCATCTCCTCTTTCAGTAGTGGCTCATGTTTCTTAACAGATCTCAGTCCTTGGTATTTTGAATCTGTTCCACTGATGATATTCCACCATGTTATCACGTTAGGCCGGCAAACATTTCTCTTTTTTTTCTGCCGCTTCTGCTGTAGAACTTTCTAGTCATCACAGTGTTATCCACGACCTCTCGTCTCATCCATCACACTATTATCCAGGATATCTTGTCTCATCCATCATGGTGTTATCCACAATCTCTCCTCTCATCCATCACAGTGTTATCCATGACCTGTCATCTCATTCATCACGGTGTTATCCACAATTTCTCCTCTCCATCATAATATTATCCGGGACCTCTTGTCTCATCCATCACAGTGTTATCCGGGACCTTTTGTCGCATCCATCAGTCTTATTCATGACCTCTCATCTCATCCTTCACAGTGCAGTGTTATCCACAGTATCTCATTTCATCCATTACAGTGTTATCCATGATCTCTTGTGTTATCCACAATCTCTCTCGTCTCATCCGTCATGGTGTTATCTGGGACCTCTTTCATCCATCATGGTGTTATCTAGGACCTATCATCTCATCCATCACAGTGTTATCCATGACCTCACATCATCCGTTACAGTGTTATCCATGACCTGTCGTCTCATCCATTACATGACTGAAGAACACTGACCATCTCTTTGTTATACAAGGTTGACCATTTAAGGTAATTTCAGATGAGGCAAATGTCTGTTGTGAAGAACAATTTGTTAAATCCCAGTCTTGCTTCTTGAATTCCTATCGGGATAAGAGGAATTTCTGATAAGAAGAACCATTTCTTTGGTCCTCGGTGCATTTTCCCTGTCAGGCCTGCACTGTAATTGTATTACTGTTTTCTAATTTCATTTGCTAATTCCATGCAGATTTTATTAGTTAGTCTGGCTGTCTCCAGCATCTGCAGTATTTGTCTCAGGAACAAAATCTCCATGGCTTACCAATTCACATTCCAAGATTCACAGCCATTTATAGGACATCAATCAGGAGCCAGCTCCAGAGTGAAGGTTGACTGCGGTAGATTTGCAACATGCTCGTCTCTTGTCCTGCTTGTACACTCTTTCAGACCTCGTCCATCTCTTGATGTTGTCATCCCAGTTGTATTGTTGTCTACCTCTTGCTGTCTAGCCCTCAACTTTTACATCCAGTGGCATTAAAAAAAAAGAGTTATTTCTTTTAATGTGGTATGTGGTCAACATATTTAAGTTGTCTCTTATTTATTTATTTTAGTCTTTCAGACACCTTTGTATTTAATTGTTTTTGTTTTCATGAAATACCACCTAATATTCTCCAAATCCAAATTTCCGGACACTCAGTTCAATTTCCTAGTTGCTAAAGACAACGATGTTTTAACACCACATCAGAGGGAACTGATGAAGGCCGACGAGCAAGAAGGCAACATAAATGGGAGGATAACGTCAAGAGTAGACAAACGAATAGCTCTCTGAGAATGAAGCAACTGTGTATGATGAGTGGCAGATTGTCGGTTATCCACTGAGCCAACCTCCATTGTGAAGACTTCTTCCCTGTGGATGGGTTCTTTCCTGGCCGACGGAACCTATGGATGGGTTCTTCCCTGGGCGACGGAACCTATAGATGGGTTCTTCCCTGGGCGACGGAACCTATAGATGGGTTCTTCCCTGGGCGACGGAACCTATGGATGGGTTCTTCTCTGGGCGACGGAACCTATAGATGGGTTCTTCCCTGGGCGACGGAACCTATAGATGGGTTCTTCCCTGGGCGACGGAACCTATAGATGGGTTCAGACACCTTAAGGGCCCACATCAGTGTTGCCACTTTGGATGTTTTACATTCAGATTTAGATGTTTTTCCTTGCATTTAGATGACGTTTTTGACGTTTAGATGCTAGATGTTTTTCTAAATTTTTTTCATTCAGAGTGAATATATCAAAAATAACCTAAGAAAAAGGAATGAATTTGGCCTCTTAAATGCTATCTTGACAATAAAATTCGGCCTGATAAGAGTAGGAAAAGGCTGTTGCACTTATCAGCTCCCTGATTGGGTATTAAAAGAAATTGGAACAGCTAAAACATACCAGTCATTTTGGATTTGAAGCTTTAACTTCATCATCCAAGCTAAGTTTATCCTGTGGATCTTGTGAGGCAGACTTCAGTAAAGATGAGGACATGATTCTATAAGGTAAGTCATATCAATTGCTATGTAATTTGTGACTTTTCCCATTTGGATGTTTTTTCTAGATGTTTTCCACGCAAATTTAGATGTCTTTAGATATTTTCGACTCCGTTTTGGATGTTTTTTGTCACCCCTACTCGCAATTATTTTGTAAAGGGGCTACGATGCCCCCTTAAATCATGTATGGAAAATATGGTACTTAATTTATAACTTACCCCTGACGCCACGACTACGTCACGGGAGACATTCCCAATAAATTCTAGGGTTTTCAGGTTGTAGTTTCTCGCGATTTATCTACAGCCAAGTTTAGGGTTAGGGTTAGAATACACTAGATGAACACTCAGAAACAGCACCACACAACAGCACACTTGCACCCCTTGAAATAATGGAATGTCAGGTCAGCTGTGGATTTCCCACGGGAATTTCGTGTTTGGGGTACGTTCTAAATTAAGAACCAAAAATATCTTTTAAAGTATTTGTGTAAACATTTCACATTGCTTCAAATATACTAACATAGTTTGTTTGCTATTCATTCAGAACATTAATATTATCATTATTGTGCTTAATCAAACACATACAAATTATAATATACTTGAATAATATAAATGTATATTAAAAAAATCCTTTACAGAAGTTTGTAATGCGTAGTTAAAGGGAGTTTCTTAATGCCTTAACAATTTGATGAAAAGCCAGAAGTGTGGGAAAAGGTCCTTTACTTAACCTTTAATTTATTTAAATAATAAAAAAAAATTGTTTATGCTTGTTTTATTTTATTTTACATTATTTTTTTAATTCTATCTTTTTATCACTACCATTTACGAGTCACTATCATTTGTATTTCTACTACTCTTTTATTCCTACTACTATAATATATTATCACTATTACATGTGTGACTATTTTTCACTATTCACGTGACGTGCTGGTGGTTGGAGTACTCTCTGCTTTGTTATTTTTGTGTAGTTGGTTAGAAAGACCTCGACCAAACCGTCAATTAGTCTGTTCTGCTTTCCCCATTTCGTTAAGCTTTTTAGTCATCTTTCTCGTGTTAAATTTTTTTTAAAAATCTTTCACCGTGTACTCAGTACGCCTTAAGTGTGGAAAAGGGCCCTTCTACGCAAATGTAAACAATATCGGATTGAAAAATAATAAGCTAACTGACATATAGTAATGATCGGCACGCATAGAAATGTTGAGACGAATTATGTCCGTACGGCATAGTTGTTGGTTGAAGCTTTATGATAGATCTGGAAAACGATGACACATTTTTTAAGTGTGCCGAACTGGTCATGCGTCAAGGTACAGTTGTTCCTGCAGCGAGGTGCTCTCGCCATTTGGGGGTGACAGGTTAGATTCCCTGCATGGTAACTATAACTTTCTATTGTTATGTTGTCTAGTGTGTTTTTGCCCTATCTCTTCACTTGTTTCTTTGAGTGTCAATCAGTTTTTGTTGATGTTTTTTTATAGGGCTTCTACCTAATCTGCGTTAAAGTAACGCATGTAAGATGAGATGGCTGAGAAAAGCTACCAACTTATCCACCCGAGATAAAATGATACTATCAAACAGACTGGGATGAAGCAAAGGATCAAATGGTTTGGTCATCTCGTTAGAATATAGACATGACAACTACCCATACAGGCGCTACTTTTGAAAAGACCTCACGCTGAAGCAGTAGATCATAGACTGTTCCTACCCTTGTCGCTTAAGGGGTCACAACGGCAAATTTTTTATTTATTTACAGTTAGAGCAATTATTTTATAATGGTCATTTGAATGGATACATGTTATTAGATTTGCATACTTTTAGTGTGAAAAAAATCATGGTTATCATGACAATAGCCACCATCTTGTGGGAAAAAAAACATGTACTTAGAATCCTAAAATTTCAAAAACAAACATAGGTATTCAAAAAAAGATAACAGATTCATGACTTCTTATCATATTTGGAGATACAGGTGTAGTTTATTTACTTCAAACATGTTTTTAAATATTTTTCGTAGAATTTCAAATTGTAGGTTTTTTTGAAAAAGTCATAAAAAATCTTGCATCATAAGATAATAATTCAATTTAAAAACAAAAACTTTCTAAAATCTACTCTTGAAAAGACCAGTTTCTATAGTATTGTTTAAGGAGTATCAATACTAAATTTCATGGTTCTAGTCTTTTCACTGTTTCAAATTTTAGGATTTTACACACAACAAACAGAAATATAAAGTTGAGAAAACTGACTTATTAAACTTTTTTAATCTTAAAAAAGTGCATGGGTTAGTGCCTTTAGTATTACCTTTTCAATGCTAAATTGTTTACAAATGACATAAATTTTGTGTGTAATCTATTCTACGAATGCCGGACTTTACAAAAACGAGCACATTGAAAAGGTGATATTTTTGTCATAAATTTGAAAAAATGCTGTGTAGTGACCCCTTAATGACAAAAGTGCAAATTGATGGTGATAATGAATGTTTCTACAGCTTCAAGGGCTTTCCGCCTGTTAATTTCAGAATGCCCTGGTACTATCTGCCACAGCGAGCCACACTAAAACGTTACAACAGGTATAGAGCAAATGGAAGACCTCGGAAAATATGGAGTGACGGCATTAAGAACAGCCTTACATAAATGAACATCAATCTTAATAGTGCTCTTGACAGAGCTCACCAAGGTATGTTACATCTCCCCCCGACACTTCATTGAGGTACAAGGTGGAAGAGAAGAAGAATAAGAATTTCAGACCGAAACACAATCATTTATAAAACTGCAAAGCTTGACAGTTCAAACCTCTTCCTTTTTATTACACACTTTAACTTTCTTCGTCATGTCGGTGCCATCGTAAAATCTTGTAATGAGATCGTTCATGAGATATTCCTTGGGCGAATAGTGGTGCCATTTGTTCAGGATGAGGTTGATAGCCGATTCATCATAGCGGTGACATCCGCCGTATTTTTTGCCGCCCAGGTATGTCTCACATTTGGGCTGAGCACCCGGCGGAGAGATGCAGTACTCTTCAGTAGCACAGGAAGTTAAGTAACGCATGAAGAAATGATGCACACGTCTGGTGTTGTGTAGAATTATGAGAGACATTTCAAAATGCGGTGTATTTTTCAACTTCCTCTCGTCGGTCTGTAGACAGATATATGATAATTTTTCTTCATGTAACCAACTAGCACGACACACGTTTGTTAAGTTCTATTTACATTAAACATTTTCCATAAAAATTAATTTTATCGTCCCAATGTTGGATGCATTTTTTTAAGACATTTTGAAGCCCCATTTAATCAAACGTTCAAGTTTAAACTGAACATATTGGGTTTTCCCGTAATTTGTGAAATGAATAATCACTGATTATGTCATCAAAAGATATGCTGCATAACATGTTGCTTTATACACACGTTATGATGAATGCAGACTTATATACTCGTCACCTTGCGAGATGTAAGTTTTCGTTATTTTTAAGCCTCACCCTGGCTTTTGCCCAGGGCCCTAAATATGGCCTAACGGCTGAACGGGGTTTCCAGGTCCTCTCCCGGGTGATCCTCATCCACATGGTGGCACTTTGTATTACCGGGTGTTTCTCGTTTGTGCGATGTCCTGGTGGGGTTCAGTTATCTACCAATCTAAACATTTTCCATACGTTATGTTACACTAACTAATCCACTCTGCTAGGAGACTGGAAATATGGCCAGTTCATTTAATTCAATTTGAGGCCACTCATCTTTCTATATTGAGAGAATTCTTTTGTAGGAGTAGGTTTATGCCACCCCCTTTCCCCCCCCAAAATGTCTTTAAAATGTGCAAGGATATTAAATGCAGCGCCCGCCCCCTTTCCCCCAACCATGTTTTGAAGTTCTCTTTTCAAGTATGTGTGTATACGTACTTACTTACTTAGTCGCTCCTCGTCTACCTTAGGGTGTAGAAGTTTGCCAGAGAGATCGCCAGACGTCTCTATCAGCAGTTTTCTTTCTGGCTTTGTTCCATTCCAGTCCTCTGTCAGTTAGGGACTGTCGGATGTTGTCTTCCCAGCGCACCCTAGGTCGTCCCGGAGGTCTGGTTCCCTGGTTCTTAGCCTCCCATGCCTGCCATGGTGGCCGATTTTCTCCCATTCTGCATACATGTCCAAACCATCGTAACTGTAACTGATCCACTCGGGTTTGTAAGGACTGGGTATCAAAATCTTGACGTATTGTCTGATTGCGGACTTTGTCCCTTCTTGATGTGTGTATACAGTTAATAATATTTCAGATATGATGCACTTATTTGCTATTCAGTATTATTATTATTGGCAGCCCTCGTGGTCTAGCTGCTAGAGGCTCACTTGCGGATCGAAAGGTTGTGGGTTCGGGTCCTAATAGTTGCTGGACTTTTTCAAAAATGACTTTGGCTCCTAGGTCGACCCAGCCTTGAGTGGGTACCAGGCACAGTCCTGGGAAGTAAAGATGGTTGGCATGATGCTGACCACATCAGCCACCAAGTGCAGTTTGGTCTATAAAATATAAGTCTAGCCCTATATACTCAGTACGCCTGAAGGCGTGGGAAACGGTCTTTTACTTTTATTGTTATTGTTATTAAAGTTTTTTAATGGCATTTTAACAAGATTTGGGCCCTTTGAAGCCCCCCCCCCCCCCCCCCCAGAAAAATTATTAAGGTGAGTGACCCATTTAAATGTCTGCTTTGTTTCGCCATCCCATCCCCCCCCCCTCCCCATCCACACATTTTCTCGTCGCATTATCTATTTCTAATAGCTTTCACTATTTATGTTGTCTAATGTGCCCCCTTATCTCTCTTCTTCTTCCTTTAAGTGCCGATCAGTTCTCGTATAGTTTATTATTATTACTGATAAAAATAATATTGCTTAGCTGCTATTCCTGTTGCTGCTGCTGCTACTACTACTACTGTTAGTAATAACAATAAAAATAATAATGCTGCAGCTGCTACTATTGCTGCTGCTGCTACAACAACAACTGCGGCTGCTTCTACTGCTGCTACCACCACCACTACCACCACCACTACCACCACCACTACCACTACCACAACCACCGTCATCATCACCAACCACCACCCAGGATAACGAACAACTAAGACACTCACAATAAGAAAGGTGTACATATGGGGGTTGGTGACGAAATAGCTGCTGTGCTGCATCTGCTTGCCTCCCACCACCAGCCCGTGCACACGACTCTGTTCCAGGTAATCCTTGATGATCTGCCTGTAGATGAATCTGCCAGGTTCCACGTACACACAGTGACCAAACCGCACAAGGGCGAACTGGAGACAACATCAACACAAGGTTAATTGAGAATCAACACAAGGTTAGTTGAACATCAACACAAGGTTAGTTGAGCATTAACACAAGGTTAGTTGAACATCAACACAAGGTTAGTTGAACATCAACACAAGGTTAGTTGAACATCAACACAAGGTTAGTTTAGCATCAACACAAGGTTAGTTGAACATCAACACAAGGTTAGTTGAACATCAACACAAGGTTAGTTTAGCATCAACACAAGGTTAGTTGAACATCAACACAAGGTTAGTTGAGCATTAACACAAGGTTAGTTGAACATCAACACAAGGTTAGTTGAACATCAACACAAGGTTAGTTGAACATCAACACAAGGTTAGTTGAACATCAACACAAGGTTAGTTGAACATCAACACAAGGTTAGTTGAGCATCAACACAAGGTTAGTTGAGCATCAACACAAGGTTAGTTGAGCATCAACACAAGGTTAGTTGAACATCAACACAAGGTTAGTTGAACATCAACACAAGGTTAGTTGAGTATCCTTTGCATGAAGAAGAAGAAGAAGAAGAAGAAGAAGAAGAAGAAGAAGAAGAAGAAGAAGAAGAAGAAGAAGAAGAAGAAGAAGAAGAAGAAGAAGAAGAAGAAGAAGAAGAAGAAGAAGAAGAAGAAGACGACGACGAAGAAGAAGAAGAAGAAGAAGAAGAAGAAGAAGAAGAAGAAGAAGAAGAAGAAGAAGAAGAAGAAGAAGAAGAAGAAGAAGAAGCAGGAGGTGGAAAAAAAAAAGAAGCAGAAAAATGAGAGATATATCAAAGGGAAATCACAGTTGTATTGTTTAGTAACATCTTTGTCTAGCCACGGCCTGATACGGTCTCATTTTTTGATCGTTTTGCACGCTAGTAACTGTTAACATGGGTCTAGTATCACCTGTAAGAGAAATGGTCTCCAAATTCGATGCCTGATCTTGTACAGGTTTTCCGGCCACAATTTCAGCAGCATACTTGCCAACACCGTGTTGCATAAAGACTTGATCTGCAGATGACACAATTCAACGCGTCTGTATTACGCGAACAGAAATGGCTGTAAAATGATTTCCATAAATAAAAATAGTTTTTTTTCTCTGTTACTTTCCGTCTCTCTCTCTCTCTCTCTTTCTCTCTCTCTCTCTCTCCCTTTTAGTTTTACTCTTTCCTTCTTTGTCTCTTTCTTTCCAGCTTCCCCTACCTCTCCTCTTCTCTCTCTCTCTCTCTCTCTCTGTTGGACTGAACATGTTATCTTTCTTTCCAGCTTCCCCTACATCTCCTCTCTCTCACTCTCTCTCTCTCTCTCTCTCTCTCTCTCTCTCTCTCTCTCTCTCTCTCTCTGTTGAACTGAACATGTTATAAAGGTTTTTAAACAGTAAAAAAAAAAATCACAAAAGCCCTCCCATCAAATTTGACCCATATGTCATTTCATGTTATCTCTCCTTCTCTCCCTCTCTCTCTCTCTCTCTCTCTCTCTCTCTCTCTCTCTCTCTCTCTGTTGGAATGATCATGTTATCTCTCCTTCTCTCTCTGCATCTCTCTCTCTCTCTCTTTTCTTTTGGACTGAACATGTTATCGAGGTTTTTAACAGTACAAAAAACAAAAAAAAACAAAATCACAAAAGCCCTCTTATCGGATGTGACCCATATGTCATGTCGTGTCCTCCTCCTCCCCCTCTCTCTCCCTCCTTTTTCAAAGAAAGGGCCTCACACCTAGTTCTTCTTCTTCTTCTTCTTCTTCTTCTTCTTCTTCTTCTTCTTCTTCTTCTTCTTCTTCTTCTTCTTCTTCATAAAGCCCATGCTGTGTGGCGTTTGTAATCATATCTTATCCACAACCTTCTGTCTCGTGTGCTTTCACTCAGCTCTGACACAAATGATTCCCCCCATGCCATGATGTTAAATTGTCCAATATCTTTTCTCTCGGTCTTTCTCTGCCTCCCCTTCCCTCTAACTTTCCTACTGTCACAATGTGCTCCAGTTTTCTCCTTCTCATAATATGATCAAAGAATGCAGATGTCTCTTTCTGACGTATGCTATCAGTTCTCTTCCTCCGCCAGTTTCTTTCAAGACGTCTTCCTTACTCTTTTTAACTGCCCAGGGTATTCTCATCATTCGTCTATAAAACCACTTCTCTGCAGCGACCGATTCATTCTCAGTACGCACCGAACCATTGCTTCGACACGATCTGTCACCCTTTCTCAGTATGCTGAACACTCGTATCAGTTATACACTGCTATTAATGAACATAGCATGCTTTATAAGATAGACACACCAATTATGTGTGAAAGACGAGTATTCAAGGGCTGAACATACGACGGACTTGAGTGCCAATGTGTTGGTTGGTTCGTTACCCCTTTCCTCCCCTTTTTAAGTTCTCTTTCCCTCCCTCATGTTTTTGTTGTTGTACTTTATATATATATATATATATATATATATATATATATATATATATATATATATATATATATATATATATATATATATATATATAATAACAACATAACATGCTTTGTAGATAAAATACAATTGCAATACAAAAAGATTAATGCTTGAAAGAATTTGAAGTAAAGACGGGCCTGTGTGGGATTTCTTCCGTTCGTTCTATCTCTATCTCTCTCACTCTCTATCATCCCTACTCTCTTGTCCCCTCTTTCTCTCGGACTGGTTCTCAGTAGCTAAACGACCCACACATGCCTTCTTATTAGATATATGCCCTATGTCATGTCATCTTTCTGCCTCTCTGTATCTCACTCTCTCCCCTGGTGTCCGTGTCTCTCGTTTTCTCTTTTTCTTCCTCTCTCCTTCTGACCTATTCTCAAGAACAGCAACACAAAACTCACAAAAACCTTTTCGCTAGATATGAGTACTATGTCACGTCATCTCTCGCTTTCTTCCTCTCAGTATCTTTTTCTCTGACTGCTTTCCAACAACAACAAAAACAACAAAAACAACAACAGCAACAAAAATAACAACAACAGCAACATCAGCACAACTCACAAAAGCCTTCTCATCAGACGTCAGCCCAATGTCGTAGATGGCTATTGTACTTCTGGGATAGAAGTACTGGACTGAGTAGATGAACTGGATGGTGGCATAGAAGGTAGAGTGGGAGCCTGCCGTCACGAACGTGATGTCATCATGGGGTTCGCTTAAATTCTAAAACAGAAACGATGTTTGTATGAGCGAGTAAGAGTGTAAAAGACGCGCCGGGGACAGAGTAGGAAAGAGAGAAAACGAGGCAGAGAGAACGAGAGAAACAGACAGTGTAAGAAGAACATGCTCAGTATGTACATACATGCATAATAATAGAGAGAAAAAGTTAAAGTTATAGAAATAGATGAACAGACAGACAGACAGACAGGCGGAAGGACGGACAAACAGACAAACGGACGGACAGACAGACAAAAATATAGATAGATAGATAGATATATAGATAGATAGGTAGATAGATAGAAAGATAGACAGACAGACAGACAGACAGACAGACAGACAGACCGACCGACCGACCGACAGACCGACAGACCGACAAATAGATAAATAGATAGATAGATAGATATATAGATAGATAGATAGATAGATAGATAGATAGATAGATAGATAGATAGATAGATAGATAGATAGATAGATAGATAGATAGATAGATAGATAGATAGATAGATAGATAGATAGATAGATAGATAGATAGATAGATAGATAGATAGATAGATAGATAGATAGATAGATAGATAGATAGATAGATAGATAGATAGATAGATAGATAGATAGATAGATAGATAGATAGATAGATAGATAAATAGATAGATAGATAGATAGATAGATAGATAGATAGATAGATAGATAGATAGATAGATAGATAGATAGATAGATAGATAGATAGATAGATAGATAGATAGATAAATAGATAGATAGATAGATCGATGGATGGATGGACGGACGGAAGGACGGACGGACGGACAGGCAGACAGACAGACAGACAGACAGACAGACAGACAGACAGACAGACAGACAGACAGACAGACAGACAGACAGACAGACAGACAGACAGACAGACAGACAGACAGACAGACAGATAGACAGATAGATAGATAGATAGATAGATAGATAGATAGATAGATAGATAGATAGATAGATAGATAGATAGATAGATAGATAGATAGATAGATAGATAGATAGATAGATAGATAGATAGATAGATAGATAGATAGATAGATAGATAGATAGATAGATAGACAGACAGACAGACAGACAGATAGATAGATAGATAGATAGATAGATAGATAGATAGATAGATAGATAGATAGATAGATAGATAGATAGATAGATAGATAGATAGATAGATAGATAGATAGATAGATAGATAGATAGATAGATAGATAGATAGATAGATAGATAGATAGATAGATAGATAGATAGATAGATAGATAGATAGATAGATAGATAGATAGATAGATAGATAGATAGATAGATAGATAGATAGATAGATAGATAGATAGATAGATAGATAGATAGATAGATAGATAGATAGATAGATAGATGACACGTAGACAGTCAATTATATTTTGACGCATGTTAGCAATAACGTACAAAAGTTTTCCTTCTGTGTATGAACAGTGTAACTGACTGTTTTATCAATTAGACTTCTGTCTGCTAAATGACACACTGTCTGAGCATCTGACAGTTAAAATGTCTGTTTGTCATACTGATTGTCTGATAGACTGACTTTCCGGTTCACTTATGGTCTTCTTGTCTGTAAGGCTATTTGTATGAGTGTCTGTAAATCTGATTGTCTGTCCTTCATATTGATTGTCTGATAACTGTCTGTCCGCTTCACCCATGGTCTTCTGGTACCTAAGGCGATGTGTGAGTGTCTGTAAATTTAATTGTTTGTCTGTCTATCTATTCCTTGAACTGATTATACGCCTGTCTGTCTGATTGTACATTACTATGACAAAGTTCGCCAAAAAATTAGACAGCACATTGGCAACTATGAGCCTCTTTTAACTACAGTGAAAAGGCGAAAATATGCAATGGTGTGGTCATGTAATAAGATCTAATGGTCTCTCAAAAAACAATACTGCAGGGCTCAGTAGAAGAAAAGAGGAGAAAAGGCAGACCAAGAAAGACCTGGTTACAGAACCTGACTGACTGGACAGACCTCAGGCATGCAACAATGAAGTCATTCGCAACTGACCGCTAAAGGTGGAGAGTGCTGGTCAGACAGTCAACAGAAACTGGTGACCCAACGACACGTAGTGTTACGGGATGATGATGATGATGATGTCTGATTGTATGTGCGTCTGTATAACCATTACTTCAACTCACCATATCGTCACCTTCATTAATCTGCTCCTCTTTTGCTTTCACAGCTGCGAAAAACTTTGCTCTCCGTTTGATCATTTCTTCTTCCAATTCCCAATCTATGACTTCATTCAAGAATGGATTACCTTCTGGTCCATGTTTTTCTGCTCGTGGTTTGTTTGTGGATAAAACTGGTCTGTTTTCAATAGGCTTTTCAAATAATTTCTGGTTGGAAGATAAATTCGCAGTTATGAAATTAAGACACTTGTATTTTGTAATCACTTGTAAGCCGACCAGAAAGAGGGTGCTAAAATGTTACATATAACCTGTTCTGCTGTATAGCAGCAAATCTTGGAATGTCGGTGAATAAATTAGGAAGAATTTGGAAGCAACAGAGATGTGGTTTCTGAGACGAATGATTCGGCCAAAGGGCGAAAGCTCATGCGCCGCTGGATCGATAATAACAACAATAAATGAGACGAATTTTACGAATACCTTGGACAGCCATAGTAACTAACAACGATTGCTTGAAAGAAGCTAATGAAAGTAGATCTCTACACACAACAATAAGAAAAAGATAACCACTGTTCTTTGGCCACATAATGAGAAGGAGACATTGGAGAACATCATTACAACTGGAAAGATCAGTGGGAAAAGGGGTAGAGGCAGACAAAGAGAGATGATGCTGGATGGGCTAAACAAATGGCATGGAGGAATATCATCAAGAGAGCTGTTTCAGGCAACCAGGGATCGTGATCTGTGGAGACGCATGAGCGCCTACGCCAGTTGGCAGGGCACATGATGATGATGAGGATGATGATGTATGCGGAGTGGTTCTTTAATAAACAACAACAGTAACAACAACTACAACTACTAATACCTCCATTAACACCAGCAACCGCGCTACCTTCGCTGCCGCTATTCCTATAATCTGTTCCGAAAGTCCTGCCAAACTTTATAAACATGGAAATCAGTCACCGTTTGGTGTGAGTTGTTGAAACTGGCATTAAGCCTAATAATAATAATTGTGTCCTTCTAAAAATTGAATGTAAACAAATTTATAGTTTTCATTTTGCTGTGAAAAAAATTGGGGGGGGGGGGGGGGGGGGACACCCCCCCCCCACCCAGGCAACCGCCTCGCCCCCCAACAAAAACATAGGGGGGGGGGGTGTCATGAAGTGAGCAGCCAACCCTACACGATGGACGAGTCGTGAATCTGACTTCCCAACGCGGACAGTCAAATTTCAAACTTAAACCCGTCCGGAAGGGTATATAATCCCTTATATTGATATATATCTATATCTGGTGAAATATTCATTTCTAGACCCTCTAGTTGCTTTGATAAATCTTCATTTTCAAACTTGCTTTGATAAATCTTTATTTTCAAACTTGCAACTGAAGGTTGAAAATTTCTGGTATTTAATTCAGAAATTCCTGTAAGCCGGTTTACTTCTTGGGCATGGATACAGGGGACTTCTTTCCTAGAGACGCTAAGTTTGGTTTTTAGAAGTCATTCTTTCGCCTGATACCAAAGTGTCAAGACGTGTATACAGTCTATGTAGAAATTGGCACATTCAAAATTCCAGTTCTATCTTGGAAGAATTCCTAAGCTTGGGTAAGTTGATTATAGTTTACGAGTACCATAATATATGTCTTTTTAAAGTTGGCCACTGCTGCAGAGAGGGAAGATTCAGCTGTGTGATCGTACAGAGTTGGGCCGTTCTTGATGTCCAGAGATTGGGCTCCAAACATTAAACCTTTCCCTGTGCAGACTAATTAGTTTGTGCTCTACATAACCCACACCATTTGTAAAGATATTAAACCCTACAAGTAATTATTCGCTGACCAGACAAACGAAGTTTGTGCCTCCTAGCAGAGATAAAGAATCTGGGTCATCCTTTAAAGTAACTGTTCTGACGTCAGTGTTAGACGCTCTGAGTCGAAAGTGTGTTTGACACAGATTCAGTGGGTGTGTAGTGAGCAGCCTGTGGAGACGTGAAATATATATAGGTACTAACTGTATACATGGTATGTCTGCGAGTGCAGATGTGAGGGTGGAGAGAGGATGATCTATGTGTGGTAGTGTCTATTTATCTCCACTATATACCTTATTTTCTATCTGTTGCACTAATTTACAGACAGATAAATGAAAGGAGACATTGTCTCCTGTTCTTGAGAGTTACACTCTGAGGAATGGAGAAGGGTAGCAAAGTGGGAGGGGGGGGGGGGGTGAGCTGGGGTGTGAATAAGGTTGATTGCTAATTCTGAATTCTTTCCTGACAGGATGATACCTCCTTAGAGATCAGGCAGACGAATCACAGTCCAGCCAACACCACCAACCCATACCATTCTGGGCACCAAGCATACCCAAAAGTCCTGTATATTGTGCCACTACCTCAACATGGCAAGAGCTTGTTTGTGAGTTCCAGGACCAGTGGACAATTGCAGACACCTATGTCATCAATCCAGAGAACCAGTCTTCAAGAGCTTTGTTGGGCTCTTATACAGTTCTTGTGTCATCACCTGTGAGACAATCAGCTTGTACCCGATCAAATCGAGGCATAGATACCTGAGTCAACTACAGTCGAATCACCGTGGACTGAGGGGAGCATTGACCTACGAACTGGGATAAGTGATCTATTATTCAAATTCATGCTCTCTTCCCACAGCACCTTATGATTCCTATGATGAACTCATGTACACCTCAAGGCTAAATCTGGCCGCTTCAATATCTGGGTTGTGTCATTGTTTCCTGAGCTCCATTCACTGAACTCTTGTTTATCTATTCATTATAATATGTATATGTTGTGCTGATTACATGCATACATTTTCATTGCTGACTTGGGTGTCCCTGTTTCACCATTCTAACTGTCTAGCTTTGAAGTTTGTGTGAGTAATAAGTGTTATCTGCGTTAACATGGCTATGATAGTATACTATCATAACCTGGGGGCTACCTTTTTATAGTAGTGGGGGTGTCCAGCCAACTGTGCCTAGGAATATTATATATTTTGTAGTGCCAAAGCTTAAGTTGCCCTACTCCTGAAATAAGTTGAGCGTATATTGGCCACGGGATATCCCTTAGACCAATACGAGCCAACGACTCAACATAATTATTTCAGAGTGCTGTTAGTTCTTAAGGAGAAATCCTTAAATCAGGCACGTGACAGGAGCGATATGTGACAGGGTGCCTAAACACCCAACGTCCTGGCGCCCCTAAGAGTGGAAAGGAGGGGGGCGTAAACATTACCCCCAACTGAATTTTCTGACAATGCCATTTACTAGTATATGTTTTAGCCTGGGGTGACATAGTGGGACGGGTTTATTGATGTGGGATCGTAACCCTAACCACCGAACCGACAGGCAAGTATGCTAATACTAATAACATGTCATAACATACTAAGTATGCTGGCCTATTTAACACCTACACTTTTATATTCTTTAAATTTAGGATATTTTCTGTAGGTGTGATTAAGTACTTATTTAGGAAGCCGATTTGAAAGTCAAAGAAATTCAAAGAAAAAAAATATGACACTCATTTGCAAGGCGTCAGCAGCTTCAAAACAGCCTATACAAAATATGGGTCTCTAAATTGTATAGTTTTAAAATCAAGTTACGTGCTTTCAGTTCTAATGTTATTTCATTTCTTAACACATGCAAGTGAAAGTTGGAGAACTACTGAAGACATAGAACGAAAGTTAAATGCATTTGAAAACCAATGCCTCAAGAAAATGTTGAACATCAAATGGGACGAATTCAAGAGGACTGAAGAAATAAGAGAAATGTCCTGCCAACTACTGGTAACACCAGTTATGAGACAAACATGATGACAATATATTGGACACACCCTGAGGAGAAACGAACAGAGAATCACCAAACACTAAATTGAAAAGTAAAAGGTGCGAGGAAGCGACAACGTCCAAAAGAAACACTAAAACGAACGTTGACAAGAGACCAAGGTGCTGGCCTGGATTCCAAGCATGATATTGGGCTGTTGGCACAGGACAGAATCAAATGGAGGAATAGACTGCGAGTCCATGTAACAACATTCAATGACCCCACAGGACAATACTTATGGCGATAAGGTGTTTTTGGCAATAAAAAGGCAGATACAATGGCTAGTTCTGTATTGCTCTGTGTGCTTGACAAGCTAGATGTTATTAGGGTCCTGTGCGAGGGAGTGAACAGCGCCGAGGCACATAAAGATCATGGTGTGAAGAAACAGTTCGCCAAGGAGTGACCAGACAATATGGTCGATACTCAACAAGCAGGGTGAAGACAAGACAAACGTACCATGAGACTGTTAACACGTACAATCAAATTGCAGCACTTCTCTCCCTGCTAAAGATGGGGCGCTTATGGGAATGTCTCAAGTAAGTGGTGTTATTTCTTATTCAACCAAACATTTGTCTTCTCTTTGTCTTCTTCTTGTTCTTTTGTCGTCTAATGCTGGTATTTGTAACTGTCGCGTGCAAATTACACACAAAACTAATCATCATCATCGTCAGGTGCCTTGCCGACTGGCGTGGGCGATCATGCCTCTCCATAATCTGCGATCTGCTGCAGCATGTATCAGTTCGTGTGCCGACACACCTCCATGCCATGCAACAAGACTGTCAAGCATCTTCTCTCATTGTCTTCCTCTATCTCTCCTTCCACAGATCTTTCCAGTGGTCACAACATGTTCTATTTTCCCTCTTCTCATAACATGGCCGAAAAATGATGACTGCCTCCTTCTGATGTCTGTGATAAGTTGTCCTCGGGCTCCCGCCTCTTTCAAAACCTCTTGGTTGCTCTTTTTGGCTGTCCAAGGTATTTTAAGCATTGTTCTGTATAACTACATCTCTGAGGCCTCAAGAAATTGTTTGACCTGCCTACAGATTGTCCAGGATTCACAGCCATATGTTAAAACTGGATGTATGTAGCAAGCAAGAATTCTTTTTCTAACTCAATGACAAGGATATATTGCACAAGATGTTTTTCATTTTATAAAATGCAGCTTTTTGCCTGTCCTATTCTGTTTCTTATCTCAGTTATGCATCTTCCATCTGATGTTATCCATGTTCCCAGATACTTAAATTTCTGTACTTGTCCTAAAATAACACCATCAACTTTTATTACTTTTAACAAACCTAAACCAATCCTAAAGGACTCAAGTACTACGTAATCTGTTGTTGTGTACTAACAAATGAAAACGTACATGTTATCAGGAGATTAGCTGCAATGTTTCGTGATGAAGTAGTTGCAGGAGCAAAAGGTGTCGGTTCGAACTGCGTAGATCTCAGAAGGAAGATTGCCTCTGGATGCCAATAAAAAGATTAGTAGCCGTGATGTGCTGAAACATCAGCCGCCGTGTCTGCCTTGTGCCTGATTTGATTTGATTTGATTTGATTCAAGAAAAGACATCACAGCACTCGGGGCATTCCCATAAGCGCTCCGTCCCCATCTTCAGCAGCCAGCGAAGAGTTCCGATACTAATGGTGCCAGTAGCTTTTTGATTAAACGTCCGTCTTGCCATTCCTCTAAGCCTAGAGCTTCGGCCAGAACCGCTCGTCACCCCCAACTGCATCAATCTCACCAGACTGTGGTGATCCATCTGCTCCTCGGAATTGTACACGCTCTCCCACAAGGCACTAACCACGTCTGCCCTATCATGTATCAGTATTCCACCAAGTTATGCAGAGCCAGCTAGTCTGTCCGCCTGTTCATTTCCCAACACACCAGCGTGACCCGGTGAAAAAATCCAGACAATACTCCTCACTCGTGTCCTCCGTAGTTTTGTGCCGGAATCATTAACAAAAGAAGAAAGTTGTGGTGTCAACGTTCCTGCTGCAAATAAATTGTTTGGATTCTTAAATACTTTCTTTCTAATGCTGGTATTCGTAACCCTGCCCCTTCCTGTGTTGTTAGCCACCTAACAGAAACGGCGCATTTCAAATACAGTTATTTTCTGTTCTAGTGCCCTATTCATTGTCCATGTTAGGCATTGAACATTGCTGTGTCTTTATCTATTCTTACCTTTTGTTCCTGGTCTACTGCATCCAGCGGTTCTTTTTCAAGCCCCACGTTCTTTGGAATTTCACCGACATCAATTTTCGCCCGAGCATCGTCTGGTTTCACGCGTGCATCTACTTGCTCTGGCCTCTGTGAAGTACACAAGTATTTAAAGAACAGAAAGATAGGTTGGCTGGTTCTACACAGAACAGAGAGATAGATTGGCTGGTTCTGCACAGAACAGGCTGATAGACTGGCTGGTTCTACACAGAACAGAGAGATAGATTGGCTGGTTCTACACAGAACAGAGAGATAGACTGGCTGGTTCTGCACAGAACAGAGAGATAGATTGGCTGGTTCTGCACAGAACAGAGAGATAGACTGGCTGGTTCTGCACAGAACAGAGAGATAGATTGGCTGGTTTTGAACAAAACAGGCGGATGGATTGCCTGGTTCTGCACAGAACAGATAGATAGACTGGCTGGTTCTGCACAGAACAGAGAGATAGATTGGCTGGTTCTGCACGGAACAGATAGATAGATTGGCTGGTTCTGCACGGAACAGATAGATAGATTGGCTGGTTCTGCACGGAACAGATAGATAGATTGCCTGGTTCTGCACGGAACAGATAGATAGATTGGCTGGTTCTGCACAGAACAGAGAGATAGATTGGCTGGTTCTGCACGGAACAGAGAGATAGATTGGCTGGTTCTGCACAGAACAGAGAGATTGGCTGGTTCTGCACGGAACAGAGAGATAGACTGGCTGGTTTTGCACAGAACAGAGAGATAGATTAGCTGGTTCTGCACGGAACAGGCAGATAGACTGGCTGGTTCTACATAACTTGGTGGTGGTTTGATGCATGACAAGCTGCATGTTGTTAGGGCTCTTTGTGGACGAGTGAACAGTGCGGAAGCACAGACGGATCATTAGGGTCTGAAGAGAATGGTATTGCGAGAAGTGACCAGGGAATCGGGTCGACGATCAGCACTCAAGGGAAAGCTGAGGCGGATATACAGACTGCTGTTGGTGCAACTGGAATCGAAACTCAGCGCTGGCTGCTGAAGATGAGGAGGGAGCGTTTATAGGAGCGCCGTGGTGTCGATTCCTAATTACAAAAAAAAAAAAAAAAAAAAAAAAAAAATATTCAGCGAAATAAAGTGAATTCTCTGAACCTTATTAGCAAGGCCGAATTAAAGCTTTCAAGAGGTCTTTAGCCATATAAAGCAGTGAGGCCCCTACGGTTACAAACTACACCAGGGAATCTTAGTAAAGCAAAATAAAGGACCCTTTCCCACGCCTTTCAGGCGTACTGGGTATATAAGGCTAGACCTATATTTTATAGACCAAACGGCACTTGGTGGGTGATGTGGTCAGCATCACACCGGCCGCCTTTACTTCCAGGACTGTACCTGGCACCCAATCAGGGCTGGGTCATTCTGAAAAAAAAAATCTGGCCCTTGTGAGGGACCGAATCCACGACCTTTCGATCTGCAGCCGAGCGTCTAGCCGCTTTACCAGGGCGGCTCCCAGCGTATCTCAGAAAAGTTTAAAATATTTACATCTTTGAAATAAATCGAAGTATATAGTTTTTTTTTTTAAATGTATAAAGAATGTTTATACTCTTTTATTTAAAAAAAAAAAAATGCATTAGTATCCGATGGTACATTACATCTCATAGCCATCGAGAGAAACATCATTTTGTAATAATTTTGCCACATCAAATCCTTGTAATTTAATAAGTGAAACTGTTTAAAATGAACATAGTTTTACCGAGGGTTCAACAAATCAGTTGATATTTCTTGTCCATCTGGGTCATCGATAGTTTTTAGGCCTACAGGCTTTCCCGTCAATTAATTAAAAAAATAAAACACGCCATATGATACGTAAGCGCTTCTTTTTTATTTATATTTTCGTTGTTTTTGTTAAACAAAAAAAAATCCATTAAAACTTTCAAGTTAAAACTGTTTATTTATAAGTTAAAACTGGCAATATTGTTTGTTTTCCTAATTTCCAAAATGAAAAACCAGAGCATATGTCATCAAAAGATTTGCTGCATAACATGTCGCTTTCTATACACGTTAGATATATTTTTTCTTAGAGCTTAGTTTCTCTCAGTTAAAAAAAAAAGAAAGTAATTTTTATTCTCTGGCACACTGCGAGGGTACCAGGCAGTAATTCACTTAGTTGATGGACGCCCCCATCACGGCAAAGTCTCTCAAGATAATTCTTCAACCCTATGTGCTTTAATCTATCTATCTATCTATCTATCTATCTATCTATCTATCTATCTATCTATCTATCTATCTATCTATCTATCTATCTATCTATCTATCTATCTATCTATCTATCTATCTATCTATCTATCTATCTATCTATCTATCTATCTATCTATCTATCTATCTATCTATCTATCTATCTATCTATCTATCTATCTATCTATCTATCTATCTATCTATCTATCTATCTATCTATCTATCTATCTATCTATCTATCTATCTATCTATCTATCTATCTATCTATCTATCTATCTATCTATCTATCTATCTATCTATCTATCTATCTATCTATCTATCTATCTATCTATCTATCTATCTATCTATCTATCTATCTATCTATCTATCTATCTATCTATCTATCTATCTATCTATCTATCTATCTATCTATCTATCTATCTATCTATCTATCTATCTATCTATCTATCTATCTATCTATCTATCTATCTATCTATCTATCTATCTATCTATCTATCTATCTATCTATCTATCTATCTATCTATCTATCTATCTATCTATCTATCTATCTATCTATCTATCTATCTATCTATCTATCTATCTATCTATCTGACACTCTGTCTGTCTGTCTGTCGGTCGGTCGGTCGGTCGGTCGGTCGGTCGGTCGGTCGGTCTGTCTGTCTATACACACATATGTATGTATACATACACACACATATTTATATATAAACCAGTCGACAGAGACAAGATATTGATATTCTAGTTACTTCCAGTTCATCTTTTCCTAATACAGGCTTATCTTCCTTGTCTTGAGTCTTCCCACTCATCTTCTCAGGCTGAATGTTTTTGGGGTGGTCCCTTGAAGTATCCCGGAAAGGATCGTTTGGTTTCTGAAATAAAAGGGGATGTTAGCCGTACAGTAAAGAATGTGAAAAAGAAAAAGTAAAGGACCAGTCTGCGCCATTAGCGCTTTGGACGTATGGTGCTATAGTATGCTATACAATTTAGGACATGTTTTGGTTCTTTATTATTATCCTACCCCAGATGACGTCACAGGACAGTCTAACAGTTTAGAGGGTGGTAAGACTGGGTTTCCTGGCTTTCTGATGCTTTTAACGACATCAAAACATCTAGAACTGGACCTAACCCCTTAACCACGGACGTCCCACGAGAGAGTGCAGCCAAAGTCCTACGACTGCATGCAGCCTTTCTACCACCTCCTGAAATATTAGACTGTCCCGTGACCTGTGGATTTCCCCTGTTTGGTGTAGGATATTAATAAAGCACCGATGTTTTAATAAACGCCGCCACTTTTACTTACTATGACTTTACCTAGTAGCAGTTTTAAGCTGGGTTGACCTTGTAACAACATAATAAAAAAAAAAAAAAAAAAAAAACGATTGCATGTGGATTTGAAACAAAAGATGCCAGCTTGACAGATTCGAGTAACTGCTTCACCACCATGAATTCAAATGTTTTTAGGAAGACGGTAGATAGCAGTATTTTGACAAAGTAGAGATAATTCCAACAACAGCAGTATAACTATTAGAACATATTAATAGACTCCACTCAGAATGAGTCAACTATGTTATGATGATCAACGTAGACAAAACAGAAGTGATGATATTCTCTAGAAAAGGAAGAGCCACCAATATCAAAATTGATTAACACCAGATAAAGAAGGCTAATGAATTTACGAATCTGGGAAGCATTTTTTCAGAAGACAAAAGAATTCATTAAAAAAAATCCAGCAAAGATGCAATAAAGTGATTCAAGTTTTAGGCCAAATGGCACCAATTTGGAAATGCAAGCATGTGAATATCAACACTAAAAGAACACTGATCAACATAATATTTTTACCAACAATATGCCATCAGTGTAAAACTTGGACGCTGTCTGCAGAAGACAAAAGGATATGGTCACGACAGAAATGAAATGTTTACGTGCTAGGCTATGTGAAACAAGGAAAGATCGACTTAAGAAAGATGGTATCAGAAGGAGAGTAGGCATAAATCCAATACTGAACTTTATAGGTAGAAACAAACCAAATCGTTTGGCCATGTAACAAGATTGGCATCAAACAGGGAACCACAGAGAGCAGTGTTAAACAGATACAGCGGTAACACAACCAGAGGTCGACCACACAGAAAATGGACCGCAGAAATATAAGAGACAATGAAAAGTCTATACGAAGTGAACAGAAGAGCCCGTGCTGTCGCGAGGCGTTCCAGATGAAGGCTAAAGTATAGTCCATACAGCTTTGTCTTGGCTGCACAGTGTTACATTGTTTCTCTGTTAGCAGCAGTGTTGGAGTACATGCTCAGCGTTTTTAGGTGCCAAGTTGCAGGAATGATTATACTTCTCTGTTACCTTTATTGAAAAACTTGACCATGCTGGCGAAGTCTGATGTACCATGCCCTCAGTCTATGAGTTCCTCTCTAAAGAGACGGTGTATCGAGTATTGAGGAGACAATTTGAAATGCACTTATTGGCCCTTTTTTTTACAATAATCTAACGGCACAAGCGACATGATATAGTCGACACTACGACTGCATCCATTATTCGCCTACATTTATAGCATCCACTTTTACGTGGAAAGTGGAAGAGGAATTTTGCAACACTCTTCTGTGTATAGCCAACTTATTGTGCCCGACTACTTCCATCAACGAAAAACTGCATTTCTGGTGGCGACTGTTGGCATTGGCGCCTCTGGCAATTGCCATATGCCTTTACTGCGTGATCATATAACTGGACTGTCCAGGGACTAATTGCTTGTCTCAAATGAAACACTGAGGAACATTTCATTTAATGTTCACTAGCACTGGAACGGAGCAAGTATGGGGAAACCCGATAGCAGTGTAGTTGAAACTCGACTAAGACTAACTCTTCTATGTGTACGGCACATCGGTACCAGATCAGAAGAAACATCGCTAAGCCAGACTCAGCCAGAACATGAAACCTGTGTCAGGGTGAAAAAAAAACAACAACAACAACACGTGAACGTCTGATTATTTCTGGTTGAAATCCCAAGGGTATTCCCAAATGTTTGTACTGGGTGACTCTACGAGCATGACCCTGTGGGTAGAGGCAGATTCCGTACACAGCCATTGGACTGACTCACTGCCCAAGTCCACCGCACCAAGCGTTAACCTCATCTTCGTTCTAGGATATGCGGGTGTTGCTGACAACAAAAGAGTTGAAAGACTGACTGACTCTGTCATAGTTGCAGATGGCTAACCTATGGATCACGCGGACATTAAAATGCCATCAGAGAGAGGAAGCGAGACAGAGAGAGAGAGAGAGAGAGAGAGAGAGAGAGAGAGAGAGAGAGAGAGAGAGAGAGAGAGAGAGAGAGAGAGAGAGGGATTGGTAAATTCTGGAGGCAGCGCGTCCACATTGCTGGCTTAGAATGCAAAATTAGGGGTACAAATCTGCACAGCTAGACATGAGAGGCACACTGTACATATGAGAAGTCTTGTCAACCACCGTAGATCTGCTCTATTAACCTTCATGGCGCTAATGTATATACTGAAGGCAAATCTTAACACCAGAGGGCGTGCCCAAAGTGCTGAGAAGACCTCATAACTAGTAACGTTTACTGTGCATGTGCAAGCTAAACGATTTTGCTGGGACTGACATCCCCCCCCCCCCCCCCTTTCCCCCCAATAGTTTCCAAATGGGACAGTAAATGATACTTTGTGGGATTTCCACTGGTGCATAAACAGAACAGTTATGACAGTGAAGGATACTTTGTGGGATTTCCCACTGGTGCATGGACAGAGCAGTTATGACAGTGAAGGACACTTTGTGGGATTTCCACTGGTGAATGAACAAAGCAGTTATGACAGAAAGTGAAGGATACATTGTGGGATTCCCACGGGTGAATGAACAAAGCAGTTATGACAGTGAAGGACACTTTGTGGGATTTATACTGGTGGATGAACAGAACAGTTACGACAGTGGAGGATACTTTGTGGGATTTCCACTGGTGAATGAACAGAACATTTATTACAGTGAAGGATACTTTAAGGGATTTCCACTGGTGCACGAACAGAACAGTTATGACAGTGGAGGATAATTTGTGGGATTTCCACTGGTGAATGAAGAAAGCAGTTTTAACAGAAAGTGTAGCATACTTTGTGGGATTTCCACTGGTGAATGAACAAAGCAGTTATGACAGAAAGTGAAGAATACTTTGTGGGATTTCCACTAGCGCAGGAACAGAACAGTTATGACAGTAAGGGATACTTTGTGGGATTTCCACTGGTGCATGAACAAAGCAGTTATGACAGTAAATGATACTTTCTGGGTTTTCCACTGGTGCATGAATAAAGCAGTTATGACAGTGAAGGAAACTTTCTGGGATTTCCACTGGTGCATGAACACAACAGTTATGACAGAAAGTGAAGGATACTTCGTGGGATTTCCACTGGACAATAATGTTGAAAATTGAAATACTGAAGCCAGATGGTCCACTAACGAATCAAGCATTCAATAAATTAATCTACCTGCCAACTAACCAAAGGACGATAAAAAAACAAAACAGGAATACAAACAATAAATAAGTCAACCAACAAATCAACTGATCAACCACTAAAAAGAGAAACTAACCTGAAATGCAAAAAACAGATGCAGGGCAGGAGGAGAAACATGAGGAGAAGGAGGATGATGATGGTTAGGTAGAAGATAAAGAAGAAGAAGAAAAAGAAGGAGAAGAAAAAGACGAAGAAGAAGAAGAAGAAGAAGAAGAAGAAGAAGAAGAAGAAGAAGAAGAAGAAGAAGAAGAAGAAGAAGAAGAAGAAGAAGAAGAAGAAGAAGAAGAAGAAGAAGAGGAGGAGGAGGAGGAATTATAGTAATATTAATAATAACAAAAAAGAGAAAAAGAAGAAAAAAAAAAAAGAAGAAGAAGAAGAAGAAGAAGAAGAAGAAGAAAAAGAAGAAGAAGAAGAAGAAGAAGAAGAAGAAGAAGAAGAAGAAGAGGGGGAGGAGGAGGAGGAGGAATTATAGTAATATTAATAATAAGAAAAAAGAGAAAAAGAAGAAAAAGAAAAAAAAAGAAGAAGAAGAAGAAGAAGAAGAAGAAGAAGAAGAAGAAAAAAGAAGGAGAAGAGAAGAAGAAGAAGAAGAAGAGAAGAAGAAGAAGAAGAAGAAGAAGAAGAAGAAGAAGAAGAAGAAGAAGAAAGAAGAAGAAGAAGAAGAAGAAGAAGAAGAAGAAGAAGAAAGAAGAAGAAGAAGAAGAAGAAGAAGAAGAAAAGAAGAAGAAAAAGAAGAAGAAAAAGAAGAAGAAAAAGAAGAAGAAGAAGAAGAAGAAGAAGAAGAAGAAGAAGAAGAAGAAGAAGAAGAAGAAGAAGAAGAAAAAGAAGAAGAAGAAGAAGAAGAAGAAGAAGAAGAAGAAGAAGAAGAAGAAGAAGAAGAAGAAGAAGAAAAGAACAATAAGTAAATAAATGATGAAGTCACATTCACAGTCAAACAACACAATAAAACTTTTAATGTGACAAATTCAAATTATTACCTGATAGTGATCGCCAACAAAATATTTGTAGCCAAAGAATAAAAACGCAGCAAATACAGTGTAGTTAATGTACTTTTTGAACGACGATTTTCTGCCCATGGTAGCAAATTGCTTTTGCTAAAACAAAAATCCAACTTTTTCACAGAATATTTGCTATTCTTGCAGCGAAACAGGCTCCTACTTGAAATGTATTGACTTCAGTTTAATAAAATGCGCATTGTCTTACTACACAATTGCTACATACGCAGTCTGAAGACGGATGTTTAGTTTCGTTAAAAAGTACCCTGTGGCGATGAACGGCTATTTTTTTTTAAAAACACTATTACTTTAAACTTATTATAAATTAACGTTTACTACTTTATGTGTACATTTCAAGAACGTCTTCAAAATTTATTTTTAATTTAACGCTACACACTTGAAATAGTTCAGTAAGCAGCGTTCCTGTATGCTAACAACAAAGATAAAATGTTTATATCATACGTATGCATACGTGAACATATTGAATAGCATACATCATTTCCGGTTCAATTTTAGAAACAGAAAATGAAATGTTATTATTAAAATGACAACAAAGCAACAACAACAAGAAGAGAATCGTGTGTATTGATCACATGTTTTGTCTCTACTTATGAATTATGCACAAATGCCATTATTTTAGAGCCCAAGGTTTATTTAAAAGTAAGATTGAATCAAGTTTAGTTAGAAAGTTGCCCATATTGATCTAAGCTTGACGTGTAGACGGTAAATTGTTCATCAGTTGTTTTACCAAAGTTTAAAGATCCAGGCTTGAGTTATTGGATTTCAGATTAGGGATCCTGTAGGATTTTGTTCACCAGCGTACGTTTTGATAGGTGTCGATCAATACTCAACAGCTGTGTTGAAATAACCCTTTGCTGTTACAGGTCAGGGAAGCGGTGGTCGTGTAGTGGCTAAATGATAGCTTTCTACACCAATAGTCTTGAGTTCAAATACGCATAAAAATGTTTTAATTAAAAGTCTCGGCTCCATTATTGTGCCAAGAAACTTCCCTCATTGTCTTGCACTCCCCCCCCCCCCCTGTTGTCACAGTTATGTCCCTTGTCAAGAAACTTCTTTCGTTGTCTTGCTCTATCTCTCTCTTTCCTGTTGTCGTAATATCTTCACTGTCAGGAACCTTTCTTCGTTGTCTTGTGCTGTGTCTCTTTCCGGTTGTCACAGCATTTTCCATATCAAGAAACTTCACTATTGTCTTGCACTCTCTTTCTCTTCTGTTGGACAAAATGTTCAGCTGGTCATGCATCGTTATACCCAAATGGAGCAGAAAAAAGCATTCTGTCTGCCTGTTCTGTTCCCAGCACGTCTGCCTGACACGAAGAGAATATTCAAATGACCCAAACGACCACGGATCTCTGAAGTGATGTTTGCTAGTCTGAACAAAGCACAGCTGTCTCCACCCTTCGCAAAATGCTTTGTGAGTCTGTTACAATTACGTCAATTGTGTACGTTATGTTTTCAAGCTTCAGTGATTGTCTCCAGCTCTATTCTCATACTATATATTGTGTCATCATATGCCAGGGACTGCTGCATTAAGTATCGCCCATCTGCTTTTTTTTTGGAGCCCCTGTGTACTTCCACTCCTCTGCAGATCCGAATGTTGTGGGTTCGAGTCCAAATCATTTTCACAAATTGACCTTGGCTCACAGGTCGACTCAGCCTCGAGTGGGTGCCGTGTGAAGTCCTGTTCGGGATGTAAAGGCAGCAGGCGTGTTGTTGACGATATCACCTACTGGGTACCGATTGATCTCTAAAATATACATCCAGCATTATGGACCCTTTACGCAGGGAGACATCGAAAACGGTCTTTTACTAATTTGTTTTTTAAAACTCACGTACTTCATCTGTCTCTCCAGATAGAGAGATCCACTGTTTATTCCGTTTGTATCCGGCTCAGATAAGAACTGGTACTATTATTCATGTCTGTATCTATTGCTTAGACGTTGTAATGCTGGAGTGCCGGGTTCCCAGCTGCATGCGAATAGGTAGCAGACCGTCTTGCGTTGGCTTCGACATTGTTTTCGAGAGCTGACCTTTAGAACCAAGGGCAAACTACTGAAAGTAAATTTGCCCAGAAATACTGAGCAGGAAGACCAAAAAAAAAAAAAAAAAAAAAAAAAAGAAAAAAAGATGGGGTTGGTTCTGCAACGTCCTGTAAAGGATACCCACTACTCTTCATTTAGTCTATCTTAAAAGCACTGTTCTTATATTATTTTTTATATCTAATTTACATTCATGGTATTATTGTTTTAATAATCATTGTCATTGTTATTACTGTTGTTGGTGTTGCTTTTATTACCAATATTATGTTATGCTATTATTATTGTTTGCATATAAAAAAAAAGCAGCTTCCAAATAAGTAGCACAATAAACATACGTCAGTAAAAGAAACGAGGTAGACCAAGAACAAGATAGAAGGATAACATCAGAGAAACTCTACAACAGCACGATGTGCCTATGGTCGAGGCAGCCAGAAGAGCTAGAAACAGAACCTTATATCTCCCTCGACACCCACAGCGGTAAAAGAGGAAGTGAAGAAGAAGAAGAAGTAAAAGAAAACAGGACCTGACAACAGGATGTCTTGGTCGCCTACGCTTGACTCTGTTTTACGAACTATACTAAAATATTGTTAAATGGGGAGTCTCCGTGGTGTAGCGGCTAGACGCACGCCTGCGGATCTGAAGGTCTTGGGGTCGAGTCCTGAAGGAGCCGGACTTTTCCCAAAAATTAACCGTGGCTCCCATGTCGATCCAGTTTTAAGTGGGTACAAGGTGCAGTCCTGGAAAGTAAAGGCAGTCGGTGGGATGGTGACCACATCCCCACCGAGTGCTGATTGGTCTAAAAGATATAGGCCTAACCCTATATGCCCAATAGGCCAGAATGCGTGGAAAATGTCCTTTTACTTACTTTTTATTGTTGACATTGACCGAATCGCTAAGTAGGTTAACAACAGAATGGTGTGTCTGTCTGTCTGTTGGTGTGTCTGTCTGTCTGTCTGTCTGTATTGGTGGATAATTACATGTATACATTTATGTATTTGTAGATTACATGTATGTATGGTATACAATGGCATTTATATTTGGGTGGATGATTACAGGTTTGTATGGGTGCTTACATGTTTGAATCTATGCGAGGACGATTACATGTATGCATGGGTAGATGATAACTTGTATGTATGTGTGGGTGCATGATTACATTTATGTATAAATGGGTGATTATAAGTATGGGTGGATGATTACATGCATGTGTGGGTTGTTGATTACGTTTATTTAGGAATGAATGATTACATTTATGTATGAGTGGAGGATTCCATGTGTTGGTGGATGATTACATATAGGTATGTATGTATGTATGTGTGTGTGTGTGTGTGTGTGTGTGTGTGTATGTGTGTGTGTATGTGTGTATGTACGTATGTACGTACGTACGTACGTATGTATGTATGTATGTCTGTATAGTAGTATGATGTATGTATGTATGTATGTATTTGGTATGTATGTAGTATGTATGTATGTAGTATGTATGTATGTATGTATGTATGTATGTATGTAGTCTGTATGTATGTATGTATGTATGTGATATGTATGTATGTATGATGTATGTATGTATGTGTGTATGTGTATGTATGTATGTATGTATGTATGTGTATGTATGTATGTATGTATGTATGTATCGTATGTATGTATGTTGTATGTATGTATGTATGTATGTATGTATGTATGTATGTATGTATGTGTGTGTTGTGTGGATGTATGTGTGTATGTATGTATGTATGTAGGTGTGTATGTATGTATGTATGTATATGTAAGCATTATGGATGTATGGATGGATGTCTAGATGATTACATTTATGTATGAATGGAGGATTATACTTGTATGCATGGCTGGTTGATTACATTTATGTATGGGTAGCTGAATACATGTATGTGCAGGTGGATGATTACAAATATGTTTGGGTTGTTGACGGGTGGATGATTACATGTGTATGGAGAGATGATTACATGTATGTACGGGTGGAGGATTACAAGTATGGATGTTTGCATGCATGCATGCATGTCATGGTATTCCACTAACGTAGATTAAACAGCAGACTACAGAGACAGAAAACGAGCACGCCAGCATCTGTACCATACATCCATACCGCCTAATTACCAGGTTCAGCTCTTCTACCATCTCCTCCATTGTTTCTCACTGTCGATCGTTGCCTGACTTCACGCTGTATACAATCGAACACACGCATTTCTGTCTTATCACCACGGCATCCATAATTCAATTATTTGCATGGTATTGTAACTGAAATGACGAGATCCCAAACTGGCATCACACCATTAGTAACTCACTGTACCTAGCAGGTGTATACCATGGGACCCGTGGCTCAATAATAGATCGACTGTGCAGACGAAAAGTAAAAAGACTCCACGGGGGAGCATGTACAGCAAGGGGTCCACCGATCACTCTCGTCGACGATTGTTTTTGGCCCTTTACCATTCCTATACAATTTCGGAAGGTGGGCAGACCTGTTTCATGAACTCCAAGGCCGCAATCTTTCCCTACTGCTCTTTACCGGATGTTCTAGGACAGGGTTAAGCTTAGTTGCGTAATCTTTACAGGACGTTGCAGAACCAACCCCAACAGGCCCCTAGCTGTTGTGTGGTTTTTCTAGGCAAAGTTACTTCCAGTAGTTTGCATTGCTTTTTGGACGGTCGGCTTTCCTGATACCACTGTCGAACCCAACACAGGGAGCATTGCCTGCAGTTAGGAATCGAACCCGGTATCCCGGCATTACGAAGCGTTTGTATCAACTTAACCACAGAGCCGACCTAGGACAGGGACCAGACGATATTACCACACTTGTGGTAAAGGCTCTCTTCGATCAAATGAATGGTGCACAAGAAGAGGCATAGTATAAACACCTCGAGAAACTGATTTAGTGGAAGTTCGCGCATGGATCAGGACGCCTTCCAACACTCAGGGAAAAAGAGTGGAAAGGACAAGCTGACTGTTAATCGGGTTACAGACGGCACCATTAGTATCTGACATTTTCGTGGCTACTGAAAAAGATGAGAGGAG